GGGTGCTGCGGAAGCGCAGGGAGCAGGAGATGCCCCATGGGTGCAGCAGAAATGCCAGCTTGGAGGAGGGCTGGGCTGGGAGTGCAGACACCAGGCCTCAAGTGAGGGTGTCTGGAGCCGCCCCTGTCCTGGGCCTTACCCCAAACCCAGATCCCAGCAGTGCCAGCACTACAGTCCCAGTGGCTATGGGGAGGGGAAGGTCACCAACCATGTCTGACTAGTGACGAAGGGACGGCAGCAACGGCCACACCTGAGGCAGGTGGCCCCAGCCTGAGCTCACACAGGGGCCTGAAGTCCAACTGGGCATCAGGAATAGCAAGCCCAAACTGATGGTAAAAACACAACCTCACATGCTTGGCCAGCTGGTCGAGCTGACGCTGCAAAGTCAGAAGGGCGGAGGTGGCTGTGAGCTCGGCATTCCCCGTTGGGCACAGAGAGGCTTCTTGCCCCGTGCCCTGTGCCCTGTCCGCTTTACCCCAGGCCACCTGCTGCACGGGCAGCTCAGACATCGCCATTCCTTCTGGCTGCTCAGTCCACAGCTCAAAAGCGTCAGGGAGGACCGCTAAGTTCCCATTAAACTGAACCTCACAGAACCCCAGACAGGGGCTGAGACAGGAAATCCCTCATTTCCCTCCAAGACAGAGCCCAGGCCTCCCCATGGGGGAATATGCCGTGACTGCCATCCACTCCTCACACTTGCAGAACGCTCCGGGCCACCCATTGCTACTGGCAGTGAACAGGCTTAGAGGGTGAAAGACGAGGCCTCGGGGTATGGGCGGCTCCTGCGATCTCCAGCCTGGGGCCAGCCAGTGGTCCCCAGGGTGCTCTCGGCTGCCACAGCACCTATACCTGAGCTGGACTGCAAGATGCAGGGCAGATGCATGATGGAGATGAAGACAAGGAGGATGAGGAGAAGCCGTGCCCTTGCCTGAGCCTCAGGAGTCCAGGATGCAGCTGCCACAGAGCCGGCCTGCAGAGAGGCGCCAAGCTCACACGCACCGTGTGGGGACCTCCCTGGGAGGCACATGAGGAGGACTCCAGAGCTGTTCCAGGAACAGCCAACCCTTGACCCTGAAAGACCCCACCTCGGCCCTGCCCTCAGGAGTGACCAGAAACCAGCCCTGAGCCGACTGGTCACAGAGCACTGGGGGTGGCTTTGCTCTCTGGAGCACCGGCTGGCCGGGCAGAAACCTGCAGCTTGGGCTGAATGGCCCCGCAAAGAGAGAGGGATGGGTGACACTTAGGTACAGGCTGCCTAAAAACCCATGACAGGAAAAGCGCAGGTGAGACGCTGCCGCCCGGGAGCCAGGGCATGCGCTCTGCAGCTGCAATTCCGGAGATGTGGGCAAGCAGACCGACCCGCCAGAGCCACAGCCTTCTCCGCTGCCACAGTGCTGCCAGCGCTCTCTGCTCTAATAATGGGACTCCAGGGAGAGATGCAGCCAACCAGGCTCAGTGGAGGCCGCCACACGTGGCAGGCACACAGCGCTCCTGTACACAGGTGGTTCACTGGGTCATCAGCCCTCACCAGTCAGGTCAGCAGACAGAGAACTGGGCTCGCCAGATATACGCTTCAGGGTGACGGAGTTCCCAGGACACGTGCTGACAGAACCTAAGGAAAGGTGGCATGAGCCTGGCTTTTCCATGCAAGGCATCCACGAGCTGCACTTCTCTGTCCACAGAGAGCTGCGTGCGGCTCGGCCACAGGACAAAAGATGTGATGCTGACACGTGCTGCTTCATCTCGGGCACAGGCCACGGGAGACGCTGCAGACTACAGAGCCACTCAGATGCCGCCCACGTCACCCAGGTCATGAGAAAAGGCAGCATGTGCCAGCAGCACCCCACGGCGCTGAGGTTCTCTTCACCCCACCTTCTGGGTGAATGCAAGCTGAATGCACCGCAGGACAGGCCATTTGGGGAAAAAGAAGTGGGAAGCATCCGTCTCACTCTGTACACAATGAAGTCCTGACGGACTAGATATGATGAAAGGCACTATGGAAGCGCCGCAGAGAACACAGAGGGCAGCAAAATACACGGAAAACACAGAACCCGCTACAGAGAAACTTTAAGCCTCCGCAGAGAAAAAAATAACGTGAACAAATTCAAAAGAACTACCGACGAGGGGGAGTCCTCTGCAGTTAACAAGAGAGATTGCTTCCTTCCTACACGGCTTTTCCAAACCAATAAAAAGCAGAAAAGAAAAACAGGAAAAGGCACACATAGGCAGCTCACAGTGATGAAGGCTGAATGGAGCCTTGCAGATGAAGAGCTGCACATTTTGCAAACCAGGCACTGCTGTCCAGGGTCCACCTCGGCAGATGCCCCATCCGCGTGCTCCACAGGCACAGGCTAGGGACGGAGGCAGAGTCTGCAGAAGGCTGCCTGGCAAAGCCTGTGAAGCACTGGATGTTCATCAGGTTAGATCAGCAGCTCCAGTGCCGTGGCTCGATCTACAAATGTCTTCACTCACGTTCACAAGGACTGCCCACAAGGGCGCTCCCTAGAGTGGGGTACATCGGACAACAAAGCTTCGGCAGCCGTGGAGAGCGGCAGGGACACGAGACTGCCCCAGAACGCAGCCCAGGGAAGCGGCAAGGGCAGATGCACACTCACCTGTGAAAAAACGGAGGGGGCCGTGCCTGTGGTCCCAGCTGCTCAGGAGGCCAAAGTGGGAGGACTGCCTGAGCCCAGGAGGTCGAAGCTGAAGTGAGCCCAGATTGCACTGTTGCACTCCAGCCTGGGTGACAGAGCAAGATACTGACTCACCAAAGGAAAAAAAGGAGCGGAGCAGAGAGAACAAGACTTCCGCGGCGGGAAGGCTGTCACTCAATGGTAGTTTGCATTGAGCTTTTCACAATGTCTTTCCTGTGCCACTTTGCACAATGTCACCAAAAGGCCGTTGCAGAGGAATAAGCCAGAGGAGGCACAGCTTTCCCCGGGAGCATCGGTGGGCGAGCGCCCAAGGGATGCACGCGCCCAGCACTGGAGCAGCTGGAGGAAGCGGCAGGAGCACAGGGCCAGGGAGCTGTGCAGTGGGAGGGCCAGGTTCCCTCCTCTGTCTCTGCTTCCCAAGTTTTCTTCCTTCTTTACAGCACACATTTGTCACTAGGTGTCCATTTGAAAGAAAAACTCAGACATCTGTAAAAACTGGTGACAAATCGTCCTGCTCAAAGACAGCACCCTGGAACCAAACATCAGTGACGAACTACATCCCCACCGCACACCTCAAACTCGTGCCACCATGTTCATTTCCAAAAACGCCTGTCGGTGAAAACCCTCTTTCCATCATGAATTCTTACATGCCCCAAACAGTTCTGTGTGTCAAAAGGACAGACTTAAAGCCTGGGCAACACGGCGAAACCCTGTCTCCATGAAACATACACAAATTAGCCGGCTGTGGAGGTGCGCACCTGTAGCCCCAGATACTCCGGGCTGAGGCAGGGGAATCACTGGAGCCCAGAGGCCGCAGTGAGCTGAGATTGCGCCACTGCACTCCAGCCTGGGAAACAGAATGAGACCCTGTCTCAAAACAAACAAAAAGGGCAGACTTCAAACTCTTAGGACTGACTTGTAATACAAAGACACTGGTCTGGCCGAGGCTCTGGCAGTGGAGCTGTCTTCCTGAAAATGTCCACCCCTTCCCTCCCCACGCATGGCCCAGGAGGGGAGGAGCAGCAGCCAGGGAGGACAGCAGCAAAGGGTCGGGCCCCACACGCCCAGCCCCAGGCGCAGGCCCCTCTGCCGCACCCCCTCTGGACAGCAGGGAGTGCCCAGCCCACTGACTGTTCTGGCAGCCCCCAGCCCTCCACCCAGACAGGAGTAACTCCCGCCTGCCCCTCTCCGGCCCTCCCTCCTGCCACTGCCGACCAGCCCATCTCTGTGACCTTCAGCCCAATCTCAGGAGGGACAGAGACCTTCCAGAGAACAAGGAGCACCACAGATCACAGGGATGGGGGACATTTCCACTGCTGGTCCCTGTGCCCACCTCTGCTGTTCTGAGGAACTGCAAACAGCTCACCTCAGCTCCGATCTCCCAAGGACCTGAGGGTGGGCTTTCAAAAGCACAGACAAACCTGCCAATGGCCAGTTCTCAAAGGGCCACGTCGGACAGACCCCACCCTCCAGGCAACACCACCCACCCCAGGCAGGGGCTCAACATTGCCCCTGAGAGAAGGCAGCCCCAGGAGCAGCGGAGTCAGCCTGTGCACGGCACCCACAGAACACTCAGGCCCCTCTGCTCTTCTCAGCAACCCAGTGACCCGAAGATGCCGAGTCCCACGGGATGTGGCCTTGCAAGCAAGTATCATGGAGCTGATACAGATCAGAAATGTGTGCTCCAAACCCCAAAGGAGTCTCTCCACAGACACAGCAGCAGGCTCCACGCCCACCCCAATGTCAGCTCACCCCACAGGGAACCTCCAGAGCCCCCACCGGGGCAGGGCTGAAGGCGGATGCTGCAGGTGCTCCAAGAGCAGCATGGCTTCTTGCTGTCCTGTGAGCTCCCAGCCAGGGTCACAAGGTGAGAGAAACACGTAACAGGCAAGAGACAGATTCCCCCACTGTCCCCATACACAGCATGGTCGGCTATGCAGGAAATGCCAAAGGAGCGACAGCTGTTGGGACTGAGGGCTTCAGCAAGGCCTCGGGGTGCGGCCAAGGTTTGCAGTGAGGAGGTACCAGCAGCGCCACAGGGAAGAGCAGTCAGAGCCAAAAGTGCCTGGGGGTGGCACTTGCTACCCAGCGACAATGAGGCACAGAGCACTGAGGTCACGCTACTGAGCAGAGGAACCCAGGCTGCGGGCCGGAGGCACTCTCGGCCTCCTGTAGCCTCACCCAGCCTGTGTCCTCGGGATCTACCCAAACCACCCCATCCCACTTGGAGAGGAGTGAGCCCCAGAGGACTGCTTCAGTCCTAAGTCTACACAGGACCGACTCCCGAGGTGTGGACGCAGGGCCCCACCGCCGGGGATGGTGCCCGGGAGCAGCTGTGTGGCTCACCTGCAGGCGTCCTGCTCTGGCAGGCACCGCGGGAGCAGCTCCTGGTGGGTTCGCTGCTTCGGGGGCCCCCTCTAGGGAATCTGCCTCCACGACCTGCCTACAACTCGGACCTGCACATCAGAAAACCACAGTGCCCAGGACTCGGCTGCCACGAGTCCTGCCCACAGGCCCTACCCACAGCTGCACAGGGTCTCTCAACGTGACAGGCCAGCCACACGCCCTCAGGGGGAAGGGACAGGCCTGTCGCAGGGAGGGCACTCGCTGCACCTCCCATTAGGAGCAGCGTCCGAGGGTGAACCAGGAGAGCCCACTGCACACGCTCGGCTTGGGCCTTGCCAGGCGGGGTTTGGAAAACACACCAGGTGGGGTGCCCTGGAAGAGGCTGCCGGAGGCAGGGCCCTGGGGACCTCCTAGGCTAGGCTCAGGCCTGCAAGTCAGAATGGCTGCCATGCCCCCAATACAGCAGCACCCGGGGTCCCAGCAGTTCCCTGCTCACCCCTAAGTTTCCATTTGAAACCGCTCTGCCGCCCTCCCACCCCAGCTGTCAATGAGCGTGCAGACAGCCTCAGCAGGACGCTGCAGCCAGGCCCTACCAACAGAACACGCCAAGAACCTTAAATAGCTCCAGCCACCAGCGCCAGGTTTAGAAATAGCAACCCACATGCTCAGATACCGCCCTGCCATCTTCCAGGCAGGAGGGCACCCGGAGCACATGACACAGACACCCACGCAGCAGCTCCCCAAACAAGGGAGGGCCCCACAGGGCCATATGACCCCACTGTCCAGCCGGCCAGAAGACCTCTGCTGGCCGCAGCATCCCCCATGAGAGGGTGGTCCTGAAGCAGCTGGGTTCAGACCTGCAGGGGAGAAGGAGGGCCCTGGGGCCAACCTTCTGGTGATGGAGGGCAGCCCTGGGAGCCTCCCGGCCAGGCCCAGGGTAACCAGGCCACAGGCTCTGATGTGAAAGTTCCAAAAACTACTTAAACATCACCCCTGACAGCAGACAGCCCTGATGAGGAGGAGTCACTCCCTATGTAGCCAGGGAAGCTGCCGATCACCGTCTGGAAAATGGAAAATGGCAGTGGCCGAGCTTCCTGGGCGAGCAGGGGGTGCAAGCGGCGCAAGCCCAAGACGGTGGCTCAGTGACCTCGGCTAGTCGCTGAGATCCAGACCTGCACCACCCACAGCAACCACACACAGCCACCAAAGCCCACTTGGACCAAGAGCAGCAAGAGCCCCTGAAGACCCCGCTAGCTAAGCTCTAAGCAAGGCCCTTTCCCGACACCTGCCCAGTGAGTGATCAAACCTACAGCAGGCCTGGGTGAGAACACGCAAGGGCAGGTCGGTGCCACACGGCGCGCTGGGGCAGCTCTGGGGGCAGGGCCCAGCTTTTCTCTCCCAACGTTGCACATCTGTCTCTTCTGCGATGCGTGCAAATGCACTGCTTTTTCAATTAGGAAATGTTATTTTCTTCAAAAGTAATTTTGGGTAAAGGTGGATCCCTAACGTTCACGTCTCAGCCACAGGCATGATGGTGAGTAGGGCAGAGTGGGGTAGGAGGGCAGAGTTGGGGACTGGCAGAGTGGGGGAGGGGGCAGAGCCGGGGAGGGAGTGGCAGAGTAGGGGAGGGGGCAGAGTCGGGGAGTGGGCAGAGTCGAGGAGTGGCAGAGTGGGGGGAGGGGGCAGAGCCAGGGAGTGGCAGAGTGGGGGAGGAGGGCAGAGTGGGGTAGAGGGATAGAGTGGGGTAGGGGGCAGAGTAGATGAGGGGGACAGAGTGGGGGAGGGGGCAGAGGAGGGGAGGAGGGCAGGGTGGGCGAACACAATGCCATTCACCCTGTGCATTGAGGACTCGGCCCCTGGATCCAGATGGTAGAGCTGGGACTTGAACAGGATGGGTGAGGGGCCACATCCACAGCCTGTCCCTCTGCTTCCTCCACAGCCACACATGTCTACTCTCCCTGCCTGTCTCCCTGCATGACGCCTCGAGGTGCAGGCCCCTTGGAGGGCTGTGGGCTTCAGCGCTACGAGCAGATGGGAACCTCCTCTGCAACCCGGTTGGCACCAGCTGTGGTCTCATCTCAAGCTGAGTGAACAGGAGCCAAGCCATGGGACACAGGCACAGGAGAGACTGGCCAGGCCCAGAGGAATCTTCTCCTGTGTGCTCTGCTGCTGCTGTGTGTTTAAACCACTTTTAAGGCCTTTAAATCCAACCGTTAATCCGATGAAGCCTTAGCCTGCTGCGCCATGCCCACAGCACGTGTGCCCAGTCACTGCCACGTGCTCCAGGATGGGAGCCAGGTGGGGTCGCCATGATCCTCAGGCATAGGTGCCGCGCACACCTGCCCGGGACAGTCTCAGTGCTCAAAGCTCTAGGAGGAAAACTCACAGCAGTTGTACAGCAGCCCCCGATATCCTCCCTTTCTCAGATGAAGGAGCTATCTCTGAAACCCCGAGGACGCCGGCAAGGAGGTGAAGGAGGACAGAACTCCAGACACCCTGGCTGGCTCCTGACTCCCTCCAAGACAGGCAGAAACAGCAGCATGTCTGGTCCAAGGCAAACACCTCAGCATGGTACGATGTGACTACGTGGCTGTGGACCTGAGAAACGCCACCACAGGGCCACGCTCCGGCAGGACTGGCGTTGGCCATGCCTCTGACCCCTGGACTAGTGTCTCGATGACACATGGCTCACGGGATGCCTCGCTTAAGCAACAAGTCACTGGGCTCCCAATAGAGTGGTCGGCATGGCCGCACCCTCCACAGGAGCACAGGTAAGAAGGTGCCCCGCTCCAGCCAGTGCACCACGCAGCCGAGGCAGGGGACACACACGGAGGTGCAGCCAGCCGAGGCCATCGGACCCCACGCATGCCTCGCTGCCACGGAGCAGTCTCCACATAACCTCCCCATCCGCCTGTTCTTATTTTAATTTGGGCGTAGAGATAAGTAACATGTATGGTCTGCGCAGTTTCCGTCATATCCTTGACTTTACAACTATAGAAAAAGAGATACCGGAAAATAGTAGAAAATGAACCCATTCTGTTTTCAGAGACAGGCAGCTGGGACTCAAGCCCAGAGGCACAGGCTGGGTGGGCAAAGCTCATTTCCTGCTATTTCCCAGTTCATCTTAAATGAAATCCCAGAAGACCACCCTGCAACCCCAGAGTCTAAGGGACTCGAAGACCACCCTGTAACTCCAGTGTCTAAGGGACTCGAAGACCACCCTGTAAGCCCAGAGTCTAAGGGTCTCGAAGACCACCCTGTAACTCCAGAGTCTAAGGGACTCGAAGACCACCCTGTAAGCCCAGAGTCTAAGGGTCTCGAAGACCACCCTGTAAGCCCAGAGTCTAAGGGACTCGAAGACCACCCTGTAAGCCCAGAGTCTAAGGGACTCGAAGACCACCCTGCAACCCCAGAGTCTAAGGGACTCGAAGACCACCCTGCAAGCCCAGAGTCTAAGGGACTCGAAGACCACCCTGTAAGCCCAGAGTCTAAGGGACTCGAAGACCACCCTGTAAGCCCAGAGTCTAAGGGTCTCGAAGACCACCCTGTAAGCCCAGAGTCTAAGGGACTCGAAGACCACCCTGTAAGCCCAGAGTCTAAGGGACTCGAAGACCACCCTGTAACTCCAGAGTCTAAGGGACTCGAAGACCACCCTGTAACCCCAGTGTCTAAGGGACTCGAAGACCACCCTGTAAGCCCAGAGTCTAAGGGACTCGAAGACCACCCTGTAAGCCCAGAGTCTAAGGGTCTCGAAGACCACCCTGTAAGCCCAGAGTCTAAGGGTCTCGAAGACCACCCTGTAACTCCAGAGTCTAAGGGTCTCGAAGACCACCCTGTAAGCCCAGTGTCTAAGGGACTCGAAGACCACCCTGTAAGCCCAGAGTCTAAGGGACTCACTGTGTGATGCGGAGCTGAGACTTCCCAGGTCCCTGTTCTGCAAGGCAGGAGGGAGACTCTGTCTCTAACTGGACTGTGCCACACCTGCGCTGACCTGAAAAGGACACAGCTCTGCTGCCCTCTGCTGGGCAGATCACCAGTGCAGAGGATGGCCAGAAAGCCCAAGGTGGTGCCCTCCATCACAGGTGCCTGGGGGCGAAGTGAGGTCTAAGCAGGTGCAATCACCTGGGCAGCGCTCTGTGTTGATCAAGAGAGCCAGCCCTGCCCAAGGGCTGGGTGCAAGAGCTCTGGGTGTCCCTGCACCACAGCCTGGTGGCCTCGTCACCCAGTCTGACATGCCTGCAGACGTGTTCCACTGACGGCAGCAGCAGGCCATCTACAGCAGGGAGGTGCAGGCAGTGGCAGCAGGAGCAGCTGTGGGAGGAGCAATGGCGGCAGTGGGTGCCCTGTGCCCGGCATCCAACAGCGGGCCTCTGTGGCTTCAGACGCTGCCACATGGGAAGCTCTGGCCTGCTGCTGCAACAGGGAAGGTTCTGGGGAGTAGGCGGGGCTGGGACCTCGATTTCGGGACTGGGACAGCAGTGTGGTTGCTGCACTCACCCAGCTGAGGGTGCCAGGTTCCTGGGCCTCTCAGGGAGGCTATGGTGCAGGGCCACTGGGCAGCATCCCTAAAGTCCCTAGGGTCCACTCCACATCGGTGACAGCCGGGCCTGACACTTCTGAAGGCTGGGCCCAGGGCCCACAGCCCATGATCCACTCCCAGAAGCAACCTCGTGGGCAGGACCACAAGCCACGTGAGGGGAGCCTGGGCAGCCCCTGAGCGCCAGGGCTGCATGCTCCACAGAACCAGCAGGAGGAGTAGGAGCAGGCAGCCCAAGCCAAAGCTGGAGACCCTGGCCTCTCTACACTCTTGGGGGGTCTGGCCAGGCCCCCCACCTCACTCTTACAGACTGGGAGATGCCTGCTCCCGCTGCCTGGGGTCTCCCCCTTCCAAAGCCCTCTCCAATCACTCAGGCCCTGCCGCCTTGGCCCCCTCTGGACCTTGGGCACCAACAAGCTCTGGGAGGAAGCCAAGGTGGGGGCCGAGGATGGATTGGCGCTGGCCTGCAAGTGGCCAGACCCCATGCTTGCTCTCACACACCCTTCACCTGACTCCAGTCTCCCTTGGAGGCATGGGATCAAGGCCAGTGGCACGAGCTGAGCGCAGCCTGCCAGGCCAAGTAGGCGAAATGAGCCCAGCGGCCCGAGCAAAGGTGCCACCGGCCACAAGTATCTGGCCACAAAAGCAACACCCCAAAATCCTGTAACACCACCGGTGCCTCTCATGACCCCCACACCCCCAAGCCCACCACGGTGCTGTGAGCTCCCTCTCCAGCAACGGTGACCGGTCTCCCTCCATCCTCTGCTTCAGGGGCCCCCAGCCCCACATGGCTCTGAGTCCACACCAGGCCTCGTCCCACTCTGCCTGTGTCTCTGGGCTTGAGTCCCAAGTGCCTGTCTGAAAACAGGTGGGCTCATTTTCTGCCATTTTCCGGTATGAAGGAACACAGAACTAGAAATCCAATTCTAAATGTGCTCTACAACCAGCTCCCCGGACCACCTGATGCCAAGGATTAGTGCCGTGTGGAGGATGCAGCCACCACTGGGCACCCGGCCAGCTGCCAGGCACTGGTGTCATACAGGCTCACTATGTCAGCTACAGCTGACTGCACAGCATGCACAGCAGGTGGCACTGAGTAGGGGGAGATGGGAGCCCACCCCAGCTCTGCCACAGGGCCCGTGCCACCCCCAGAGCAGGCACGGAGGAGCTCTAATCCCGACGTGGGGTCCACTAGTGGCCGAAAAGCCTCTGCATGCACAGCCTGGTCCACAGGCAGAGCTGAGCCCTGCTGGGGAGGTGCAGGGGTCTCAGAGAGCTGGGGCGGGGAGGGAACTCTGAGCCAGCCTCAGCCCTGACCCATGCCCTCCTTTTCCCATGGGGTGCAGGGGGGTCTCAGAAAGCTGGGGCAAAGAGGTGACTTTAGGCCAGCCTCAGCCCTGCACCCACGCCCTCCTCCTCCCATGGGGTGCAGAGGGGTCTCAGAGAGCTGGGGTGGGTAGCGGACTGAGCCAGCCTCAGCCCTGCACCCATGACCTCTTCCCAAGGCACGAGGCGAAGCCACAGCCAGCAGGTTGCAGAGCTCAGCGGGTCCCTCCCAGGATGCAGGGCCCACCTGTCATGGCAAGGCAGGCCCCAGGGCACAGGAAGAGAACTGGGGGCGGACGTGGCTTCTGGGCTAGCTGGGATCCAAAGGGCTTGAAAGAAACATAGGAAAGATGCCATCAACTTGTTAGTCACAGGGACAAACAAGCCCCACCACTTCCCAGGGCCAGAGAGGGAGAGGAGGGACGCGATGGGCACAC